ATATATATAATCTTTGTGATCAATTTTCCATATTTGAAATTTTATCTTGATTACTTATTCCTAATTCTCTAGTATTATTATAAAATGATTTATACATTTTAACTAATATATTATCAATTGGATTCTTTTGCTATCTTATAAGAAATAAATATAAAAAAAATTCTTCTAAATTTAGTTAAACTGCAACTTTAAAAATATGTTATCATATAATACCAAAAAAGTTTATATAATAACATAAATATGAAAAATGATTATCTATTAAATTATATTTAATAATCTTTCATTTTTGTTGACTATTAATCATTCTACATAAAATGAAACTTTAGTTTCATTATTATTACTAAAAAAAGAATATAAAAATAAATTTATTACTAAAAAAAAAACTTTAAAACAAAGTTCTTTTCTTTACCTATCAACGTTTTTGCTTTTATATGATATATATTATAATAATTACTTCTGGGTTTTTATTAATGCATATTTATTAATAATTTTAAAGCTTGTTTTTTTATAAAAACTTGTTATTAATAATGAAATAATTGTATTATTTTTATAGAATTTTACAAATTTTGCATCTTCCTTTTTTTGTTTTAAAGCTGATTCAAATGCTTTTAAAAAAATTGTAAGGAATGTCATAGCATCCATATAACCTTTTATAAGACTATTCATTGATTCATCCTTTGTGTTATTGTTATATCAGCCATAAATATTTGCTGATTATAACACGATGTCTAACATATTAAGTTTTTATTTATTTTCCTTAAATATTTATCAGCAAAGAATATTTATTTTCAATTTATTCCATTTTTCCAAAAAGTCATCTTTATTATATTCATTAAACATTGGTAAAAATATTTTATAAATTCTGCTCATTTAAACCCTAAAGTTCCATTTAAATTTTTTGTTACTTTTTCATAAGATGCTATAAATACAAAACATATTTTGTTTAAAAATTTGATCTACAATATTAATAATTGCTTGATCTTTATCTGTTAATAATACTTTGATAAAGTATTATTAACTAATTTTAGAAAATTAATGAAAGTCTAATGAAAACTTTTTGCAGTTTTATCATGCATAATTATTTCAATAAAGCATATACTTTAACCATAATTATTAACTTTAGTAAAAATACCAAAAAGCATTTTAAACTTATTAGTTTTATAAGTATTGTTAAAGATCACTAGATTATAAAATTAACAATGATTTATTTTTTATTTTGAAAATATTCAGATTGCTTATTTAAATTTATTTATTTTAAAATCTATCAGAATTTTATAATAACATTCTTTATTTTAAGATTTAAAGTATTCTAAATCTTTACAAAATCATTGGCATCAAACTCTTATTTTTCTAATATTCCTTCCTTTGATAAATAAAATTATATAAATCATTGTAAATTCAGTTTAAAATGTCAGAAATTTTTTCTTTAATATTACATAAATTGTAAAAATTTCACAATCAGTAAGTTTGCTAAAATTAAGTCTAAAGTCTATTATTAGTGTTTAGTGAAATATGAACTTTAAATTGATAATTATAACACAGTAGGTCTAGTTTCTTTTATTTAAGTTTTTGTTAGAAGAATCTTTTTTATTGCAAACAATTATTTTTTTATGTATTTAACCTATTACATTTTTCTCAATTTTTTCTAAACAGACCTAAAAACCATTTCATTTTGCATATACTTTAACTATCAAAATAAAATTTTCTTTTAAAGAATTTGTATTATTTTTATTAAGTTCAACACTGGGAATTTTTTCAGAAAATTCAGATAGTACTAAATCACATTTATAAGTATTTTTATTACTTTCTTCTATTTTAAAGTAATGAAATTGTAATAATAATGTGAGAGAAGAATATAGAAAATAGACTGCAGATTAAACAGATAACATTATATTATAACATAATGTATTGTATATAATAAATATAAATCACATGAAGTTTTGAGAAAGATGCATAGACCTCCTAATGCAAGTTAAGATTCCTCCATCAAAAATCCTCAGGCATGTGATTTTAGGTACACGTGATATAATTTATGGGTGATGCAAAAATGTTAATTTGTTTTTATTGAACAAAACAAATTTAAAATTCTCATGCTTTCTTTAAAAATATTTCAATAATTTTTTTCAAATTTTTTTTTTGATATTGCTTTTCATAGAATGCGCAGCTTTAGGGTATCAGAAGATGATTTGATTTTCCAGTAATAGGTGAAGATTTTTTTAATTATTTTTTCATTTTATTATGTGATTTCTTTTTTTATTTTTTATTTTAAATTTTTTTTTTAAGTTTGCAGTTACTTAATTTCATTTTCTGGTTAGAAGCAAGGAAGTATACTTTTTTTATTATTTTCGTCATTTTTTTTACTCCTCTGGACTGATCGTTTATGGCTGTAACCATCTAACATTTTTTATAAAGAAATGTTTTTATTAATAATTATTTATAGTAACTTCACAGGTGATCAATTCATCATAAGCAATACATTCGAAGTGCAAAATGCTTCACCCCAATATTTTATTTTATTTTATTTTTTATAAATTTATACTATTATATTTCCATATCAATCTTTATTTTTCCACGGCAATCGCAATGTATAAAATTTATAACACTCGTTATTTTTAATAAATTATAAATTTTATAAAATAAATATATGCTTATTAAGAAAAACTTATAATTTTCAAGTTTTATTAAATATAATTGTATTGAAATGTAAGTTAGGGTTAAGAAAGTGCTGTATGTTTGGCTACGCAGTATTTGCAAGTTAGTAGCGTAGCATTAGGTTTAGGACATGACATTAGAGTTAAGACGTGACATTAGGATTAGAAAGTAGCATTAGGGTTCAGAAGGAAAGGTTTGTTAGAAAAGCAGGCCACAGGCCACGCAGTCAACAGCTGCACAACATTTGCAATTATTTGCGTGGAATTAGGGGTAGTTCGTATCATTAAAGTAATTCAATTATTAAAAAATTAATATTTGATTTATTTCATTATCAAATATATCAACTAAGCCACCTATAATTCAAATAACGTGTACCTAAAATCACGTGTACGTTGATGGTGATCCTGGGGAGTTCCCGCATTATTACATTAGTGTGGCGTTATAAAATTAATCCCGTGATGAATAAGGTCGTGATGAAATTTATTTCATATGCCGTAGTGACATTTTTTATGGCGATGCAGGGAAAACTGATTTGTGTTAAAAGTTAATCATATACAGCATTTACTTTGCGATTGAATGCAGACAGAAAGAACAGAAAGAAGGCGAAATCATCAACATTCCATATCATATCTGAACAACATCATGATTTCATTAAGTTATTAAACAACACCATTAAATTAAATACTTGGATATCAATTAAAGCATTGGATGCAATTATTAATGTATTTCTCGAATAAAAAGAAATAAATGAAGAATTTGGAGGTTCTGGATTACAAGGAATATTTGATAAATTAGTTTATTTCTAGTCCTAAAGGTTATGGTTATTTAACATCGAAATTTTCAAGAAACCTTGGTGAAGAAGATTAATGACTGAAATATTTTGAATGACATTACACGCTGGCCTTTATATAATGATTAAATTTCACATGAATACTGAAAAATTTTATTTAACTAAATTTGATTTTTATTTATGAAAACAAAAGTAATTTGTAAATAAATAATTTAAACAACAACAACACGTGTTTCTACATAAATTTAATAATCAGTAATTACCAGTTTTATCCTTGTACCGCAGTAAAGTATTATTAACATGATATTATATTTTCAATAATTGTCAATCCCATAATGGCTTGTATTCAATTTCAAAGTTTGATTTAATATTGTTGGTAAACAGTCCAACCCGTATGAAATTAATATTTCGATGGTACGCTCCGAAACGATCGAACCCTAAAAAAACAAAAATTGCTATTATAAAAAAATCGAGTTACGAACTAAGTTCAATCGCTTGATTAAATAAATTACAACAAATTCAGTAAGCTGTTTTTTTTAAAAAAATCTTTAAGATTATATTATTCAAAATCGTCGTAAGTATTTACGATAATCAAAATTTAAATTTTTAATATTAATAATACTATTAAAAGTTTACGCTTGAACAAGTTCCAAGTTCGTAACGATACAAACTTCATTAATCTTCCACATTAATAGGGAATCATGAAAAGAAAATTGAATATTTAATTGATCGATTTTTATTATAATTGTTGTTTCATTCGATGGTCTTGTAATGATTCACTTATATATAAGCTTCCTATTAAAAATAATAAAATGAAAGTGATAGCAAACATAACTTATTTATTTTAACATAATAAAATCATTTATAAATTTATCATGTTTAGGTTTTTATAATACTTAAATGCTCCTTAAGCATAAAACTTTTCCAGGTTTAAATTTTTTTTTTTTTTCAAATATGATTTTAATAGCAATCCGCCCAATAAAATTAGACTTTGACAATACGCATGTTTTTTAAACATATATTTTTCTTATACGGACGGATAAATTTTCAGTACAAAGGAGGATTGAAATTATAATTTGTCACAAAGTAAATTCACAAAGTCACTCGATAAGCAATATCTTTTTTCTTTTATGACGACGATAAATTCACTATTGTCCGAAGTTAATTAATTCATTCACTCGTAATACTGGAAACGGGCTCTTACGAAAAACGGTAGTACGTAACGGTAACGAATTATCGTAATTTTCTCCTTTTGTATTAGTTGCATCATTCGTTCTTTTATAGTTGTGAAGAATTTCGATCAAGAAGAAAAATAAGAACTGTAGTGATCTTCAAAGGCACGCCGCAGTTAAACTGTTAACTTGATTTGGTAAGTCGATCCTCTGCAAGAACCGGTTACGAAATGACTAGGTTATTTATGGAAGGAATAAACCGAGGGCTGAGTAAATGATGTAATATTTATGCATGAAACAATAAATAAAACTCATTGAAATAACCATCCCGAACAAAAAAAAAATAGAAAAAAAAAGTCCAAAATAAAAATAAAAATATGGATAATATGGATAACGATTTAGAAAATGTCCTAAATGACTTTGAAACGAGAATTAAGGAATTAGAACAATGTAACGAAGGGTTACGTTCTCTATTCAAATATTTAGAAGAAGATAACAAAGCCAAGCAAGAAATTATTAGTAATTTAGAAGAAAAGGTTAGAGAACGAGAAGAAGAAACGAAAGCCAAGCAAGATATTATTAATGATTTAGAAGAGAGGGTCAAAAGTCTTGAATTATTAATCTATGATGATTCTACTGATGATTTAATAATTACGGATATTAATAAGGATATCCTATTTAGCAACGTGGGCGGATTACATAGATATCAAATTTTGACAAAACTCTATTGTAACAATACTCAAATAACCATCTTACCAACTTTACCTAACTCCATAACCGAACTATATTGTAACAATACTCGAATAACTAACTTACCGACTTTACCTAACTCCTTAACAAAACTTTATTGCTATAATACTCCAATGACCAGCTTACCAACTTTACCTAACTCCTTAAAAGAACTCTGGTGTTTCGAAACTTCAATATATGGTTTACCAAATTTACCAAATTCTTTAACAGAACTCGGTTGCTCTTATACTCCAATTTCCGACTTACCACCTTTACCTAACTCCTTAAAAGAACTCTACTGCGATAATACTCATCTATTAAGATTACCAACTTTACCCGACTCCTTAAATACACTCTGGTGCTTTAATACTCGAGTAACTAACTTACCAAATTTACCTAATTCTTTAATACTTATCAACCCTAAAGCTTTAAAAAATCAATATTTAAACGACCTTTTAACACTTTGATACAACTTTAGCAATTTAGCTGTTTTTTTTTTTATTTTAACAATTATTTACCCTTTTATAATATCGACTTTAATGTATTCATTAATTATTTCCTTTTATCAATAAAATATTTTTTCTCGATAATACAAAAATGGTTATTATTTTTTATTTCATCGATGAGTTTAATTAGCTGTAGCTTATAAAACAAATATATAAACTTTAAATTCAATGTTTACGAAGTTTTAGGTATCAATAAAATTTGTTTAATAGTGTAAAAATAATTCATTAAATATAACACTTACTTTGATGAATAGGAAAACATCTTTCAACAACATCTTTTAGATGTTATTTTAATGAATTCTAATAAGATAGTTATTTGATAATCTATTGACTATAAAGAAAAAAGTGAAACTGGAAATGAAATTATACAAATTACTTAAGGGCTTTTACTGAATTTAACAACTGCTTATTAAAGTTAATGGTTTAATTATGACTTCCGCTTCAGATAATACTGTAGCATAGTAAATATAAATTACAATTTTATAATTTATATTAAGAATTTCTAATTGATAATTTAATTAATATATTAATAAATATTTAAGAATTCTATATTAAGGGAAATTATTTTTACCTTGCTTTGCATATCAAATGAATTTTTGTGTAAGAGATATTTTTAAAGAATTGAATGCTATTATTATCTTAGCTGAAACAAATTGTTGCAATAGTTAATTTTTTTTAAAAAAAAGACTAGAAAAAGGATAGACTAATTGTAAATAACCTCTTTTATTTTTATTCTTTGATTTTATCCAAAATATTGTATAAATAAATTTAATTCTACTATTAAAAATCTTTCTTTTTCTCATCTTGGTCGATGGGTAACTTATTATTTATATTACTTAATTTAATAAAAAACTAATATCATTATTAATTGAATTAAAATCATGTAAAAAATATTCATATAATGATGCTATTACTCATTAATTGATTATGATTATGAAATTATATGCACTCTCCTCTAAAAAATATTCTATTACTTACTAATTATTTACCAGTTATTTAAATTATAACCAATTTCAACATTATACTATTTAACAATTATTTAATAAAATTTTTACAAAATTTATATATAAAACTAAAAAACTCATATTTTTTATTTATATTATTAGTTAATGCTTTGAGCTGATCAATTCAATCTGGATTGTTCAACCTGACTCAAATTTTTTCTCAAGTCAGAAATTATCATTTTATAATATAAGTTCTAATTCAATAAAATCTGTCAGGTCAGATCATATTTTCCTTGATTCAGATATTCTAAATGATCAGTAATCTAATTTTTACAATATAAATTATATGTTAGACTAATTTACATTATACAACTAAATTTGTAACAAATAAAAAATATAATAAATGAATCTATAGACATTACTAATATAGTTATTGATAATTTTAAAAAATGAAAGGTATTGCAAAATGAAACTTTTGTCAAAAAACTTTTTGAAAAATAAATTCTTCTGCTAAAATATAAGCTTTTAAGTAACTCATCATAAAGTTCATTATTATAATTGCTTGTATGTATTTTTTAAAAAGAAAATAAAGTATAATATATAGGATTTTTATATTTTTTTTTTAAAAAACTTTTTAAAAGTCATAAAATATGACTTTATAATATTAGTGATTCTAATACAACAAATCTTTAGTATCACTTATTGCTATTTTCAAAATGGTATGATCAAGTGATTTATTGATCAATTATAATAAAATAGATTTTTAGATTACATTAAAATGAACTTTAAAAAAACTTTCTTAAAGAAACTTTTTTTAAAACATTTTAACTTTTATTAACCTTTATAATATAGAGTATTTAAGCCTTATGTATTAGTGAAAATTAATATGTAGAAGTTTTTTTTAGCTTATAAAACTATTTCTAACTTTCTAATGATTTCAAAATAATTTCCTAATAATTACTACAATTATTAACAAAATTTCTGACGTAATTCTTAAATAAGTTGACTTTAAAAGCTACGTTTTATCTTATACTTAACTTTTTTTTTATAAAATATATTTTAAATAATGAAAAATAGTTTTTTGAATGAGTCTTTATCATTTTATAATAATTTATTATAACATAAAATATTAGATTTTTTAGAAAAATAAAATAATTGTTAATTTTTTTTATAGATCTAATATATTCTTGTTATAAATATATTTAGAAATATTTGATATTTTAAATTATTAGAGAAATTATTTAATTTTTGGAAGGATTTTTTTACCTTTTTCATTAATGAAAACAAAAAAATTGTTTAATTTTATTATATAATTTATTATTTTTAATGTAATATCAATTTTTGTGTTTAAATATTACTTTATTTTATTTTTTTCAATTATTATTTAAATATTTTCTAGTGTTTTTTAATTTTTTTTTTGTTATTTTCAATATTTTCAGTGTTTATAATATTTTTTTTAATTGATTAACAAATCGCTTGATCATACTAATTCAAAAACAGCGATAAAATATTATCATTTTGATAAAATCTAAAAAAGTAAAGTACTAAATAAATAAAAAATAAAATACATTAAATTAATTTTTGAATATAAAGAGAACTTTAACTGATGTATTATTATATTATAGACTATTATTTTTATATTTTATATTCTATAAGTTTACACAAAAAGATTTCCATAAATTTATTACTAAATAGATAATTACTAATGATTAATCATTTATAATACTTAAAATAAGTATTTATAATAAATAATAAATTCTTAAATTCAAATGCATTTATTCTTTTAATAAATACATTAAAAATATAATGAAAATTTTTGAAAAGAAGCAAGAAAATTTTAAGTAAATTTAAATATTTTATAAAATATATAAAAATATTCTTTAAAAAATATTTATATTATATTATATTTTAATAAAAAAAATTTATTTGCTTTAAATATATAGATATCTACAAATAACTATTCTTTTTTTAGCAATTACAATACATTGAATTACAAAAGATTGAAAATTTCAAAATAATTTATTATAACAAAAATCTTTGTAATATTTTATACAAAGTTGCAATAAATTTAGAATTTTACTAAAGATAAAAAATTTAAAAAAAGTTTTTGGTATATTAAAAATAATTATTTTTATATATGTAAATATATATTAACAAACAGATTTTTCTTTTTAGATTTTTACAATCAAAGTGATAATATTAAAAATAATAATACTTTTATAAAAGAATTAGAAATTATATATTTGGATAATAATATTTTTTTAAATTATTAATACTTATTTTTATTGTATTATTCATATTATAAATATATTTATATAAGAAATTTTAAATAAGATTAAAGTAAAAGAAATATAAATTGAAGATAATATATTAAGTAATATAGATAATTATTTAAATACTAGAAAAATAATTCTAAAGATATATAATTTTTTTTATAAATTTTTATTTATTATTATTTTAATTATTATTTTAATTAATTAGCTTCATAAACTTATAGTTAAAATATGATCTTTACCATAATAATGAGATAGTTTTACATGTCATACTAAAGCAATTAATCTTAAATATCTTAATTTTATTCTAGATATTAAAATAAGATAGAATTTAACTCATAATATACTTAATAAAACTTTTGAAATAAAAGTGATTAGAATAAATAGTAATATTATATAATTTTTATTTTATTTTATTATTTTTAATATTTATTTTAAGCAATAGATATAACTAATTTTAGATAAAGAACTCTGAATATTTAAATGTATTAATTAATTAATAGAAAAAAATGAAGAAATTATTTCTATTTTAAAGTTAAAAAAATGAATTTAAACTTAATTTTTATAATTAATTCTAATTTATTTCATTTAATTTTTTATTTATAATAATATATAAATTTTTATACAAACTATTAAATAAGTTTTTTTAATATTAAGCTAATATACAATTATTTGATAAATGAACTTATAGTATATTATAAAAAAGCTGATAGATTTAGTAATATAGAATTTATTATAAAAGCAGATTTAAAAAATTAGAAATATATTATAAAAAACTAATAATATAAATATATATATAGTTATTACTAGTAAATATATTAAAATTATTAAAATTATAATTATTACATTTCGCATGCAAATTATTTTTATTTTAAAAAATTTTGTATAATTATAATTGAGTATTATTATTTTATAATTAGGAAATGGAAATCTTTTTAAATCTAAAGTAAATTTTTTTATTAAAATCAATAAATATAAATAAATTAATTTTTATTTTTATTATTTTAATTTTTATTTTTTTTATTTACTGATCTTATTATACACGCAGTATGACAAATGAAAATACTTTCGTGATTTTAAAATTTTCACATTATTTTCTAAAAATATAATATATTATGCTTCACTCTGAATAATTAATTATCATAAATATTATACTTATTATTCTTATTAATTAAAAATTGATAGATAATCATATTCTTAATCAATTTTAACTATTGATTTCATTTTAGACAATTATTTTTTTTACATTTACACAAAATTTTACTTTAAAAATAAGTATTTTTAAGATCTTTTTACAAGTAAATACAAATATATAACTTTAATAATAAAAATATATATAATTTTATAAAAGAAATAAGATTCTCATAGGTTATAGAGTATGTTATTTAGTTGGATTATATGTAATATATAAAAATTAATTTTTTAAATAAATAAACATTTTTAAATTATAAAATTTTATGGTGAACAAGCTCTTAATAAATGTTTTAAATTTAAATACAACTTGGTAGAAATAATAATCTTATTAAAGTAATTTATCTTTTTTTCTTGAATGACTTATTTTAATTAAATAAATAATATTAATAAAAACACTAAAGTATATGTAAAAAATTATTAAATAATAAGAAATAATAATGGTGAATATATTTTTTATTAATTTAAAATTAATAAATTACAGGAGAGAATTAAAAAATTTCTTTCTACTTTAAATTATAGACTATATAGAAGGAAAAAAAATTATTAAAAAGAGAATTCTAATATATAATCTTATAAAAATCAAAGTATATTTTAAGATTTCTCTTAAATAAATATAATTTTTATTATTATATATTATTGCTAACATGAAATTTTTTTTTTATTATTATTTATATTTATGATTTTAGTTTGTAATAGTTTCAATAATCTCTTACTTTCTTTTTTGTTTATTCATTCTAAAATTGCATAATACTTTTAAAACTTCTTCTATTTCTTCTTCTATAAGTGTATTTAATATTAATAATAGTGTTAATAGATCTTTCTCTACTTGAATAGTTTGATAATATATCATCTTTTATTTTTTGAAAATAGTTAAAAATATATTCAATATTTGTAATATTTAGATCTAGTTAAGGTTACTAGACAAAACCTAAAGAATTTGCAAATCATTTAAATAGAAAAGATAAAATTTAGTGAAATTATATCAAAATCTTATTAAAAAATCTGCAAAATTCTGAAAAAGGTAAAATTATATCAAAGTTTATAAAAATGTAAACTATATCAAAACCTTAATAAAAATTTAGTGAAACTATAGTTTAGATATTTTGCCAAATCCAAAATGAGTCTAGATAAACAACCTTAGATCTGATATATTTTGAAAGGAAGAAGATAATTATCCAATTAATATTGATTTATTATTATTCTTTTGAATAGATATTATTAAATATCTTTTTAATAATTTATTAACCATTTTTTTATTTCATTTTGAGATTATTTATATCTTTAACTTTACTAACTACTACTTCTTTAACTTTTTTTTTCTTTAGAATTAATTAGTTCTATTTGTAATATTTCTTATTTATATATTATTTTTAATCTTTCTAATCCTATATTATAATACTTGACATTCTTTATAATTTAATTGACTATTATTTTTAAAAAATAAATATTCTAAAGGAGTAATTGATCAAAAGTTTCTACTAAAATTTTGTTAAATTCAAAGAACTGCATATTTATTAATAACTAAATTTTTACTATGATACATTACATTATCATCAATAAATTCACTAAAAAGTAATTCTATCTTTTTCTTTTTATTTATGCAGATTTAAATTTAAATTTTTAAATTTTCTTCATTAATAATATTACTTATAATATTTTGTTTATAAATTATACTTCTAAAGTTTTAAATGCTTTATTAAATATAAAATAATGACCTTCTTTTATTAAATTAATATATTTAGTATAATGTAATAATTCTTAAGTTATAGATATTTAGCAATTGAAGCTAAAAAATAAATTATTAATTTAATATAATTTAGTTTTCCTATAACTAGAAATAGAAGAGCAAATATTGCAAAATATTTAAGTTGTATATTTATATTTTCTGTTTTAATATATACTATTATTTTACAATACTAATGACTGAAAATTAGTATTAATGCAAGATTAATAAAGGGATTTAGTTTTTATTTGATACTTTAGCGAGAACTCTAAAAGGTTTACAAATAATTATTACTTCAAACAATAGTATATTTAAGATAAACTTTTAATATTTTATTAATGGATAAGGAATTCACTACAATTATATTTGTTAGCATATAATTGTTGTTAGTATTTATCTTGTTGGTAATAAAAACTAATTGAGTTTCAATTGTTTACAAATTATTATCTCTTGTTATCTATTACTGTCTATTACTACCTAATAATGTTCTTTTAACCAAGTCCTAAAGATATCCTATTTATACTAAATTTGCTAATATAAATAAATAAAATACTAATTGATTATAAATAATAAATGATTAATAATACAAAATGATTAATAATATAATAGAATTTTCTGGCACTTCTGGATTTTTCATATAACCTTTATTTAATTCATTTCTCTTATCTTTGCTATCTTTATCATTTAACGTGATACAGTTAATATGCCTTGCAGTCACATGTATCATATAATCTTTTGGATCAACATCTTCCTATAATAATACTTAATGAACTTTTCACTAATTATACCTTTTATAAAAATTATACTATATTTTAAGTAAATTATTATTTTTTTTTCTATTTGTAAAATCTTTATTTGTTTATTTATAATATAAATTTGATAGCATTAGTTATAGTTAACTATATTAAATCTAATATTTGACTAGTAGAATAAAAATCAACCACTAATTTTAATTTATTTAAAAATTTTATACCTAATGTATAGTAAAATTATATATTTCATAACTTGAAAAAATTATTAAAGATATACTATACATATAAATTCTGCAATAGAAAAGCATAAACTATCAAAAAATTTTTTTTTGCATTAATATTAAATCTGAACTTATTTTACTAAAAAAATAATATTTAGCTTATAAAACAAAAAAAAATTTTTTAATAGTTTCTACTTTTTTTATTGCAAAGTGTCTATATCTTTTAATGTATGCTATTATTCTAAAAGAGGTCTAATTTTTGTATTTTTTTAATGAAGTTTAATAATTCTATAAAAAATTACTTCATTATAACAAATTTTAACAGATTGATTTTCAATTAATTCTAAAATTTTAATATATTGTTCACAAAAAGCAAATATTTCTTCATTATTATTAAGATTTTCTTCTGCTTTAAGTATTATAATATGTGATGCTAAATAATACTTTACTATCAGACTCATTTTTTTTAATAGTATTTTATAATTATTATACTATATATACAATTAGGATGTTAATATAATAATACATATTATTATATATATTGGAATAGTTATTAATAAGGTTTTTGACAAATTTTGATTATAACATTAATAGTATACATAATTACAAAATGATAAATCTTAAGTATTACATGATTATTTTTATATATCAAATCAGATAAATAATTGTTTTAATATTACATATATATGTTAATATTGATAACAATAAGCTATTTAGCAAATTCAAATTATATTATTTATTAAAAAAGGCAATTATTATACATTATATAACATTTTTTGAATAAATATTGTTTTAATGCATTATATAAGCATTCTATTAATGTATTATGATATCCATTTAATAATTGTGTTATATATAAAAATTTGTATTTGTATATTGCTAAATATATCATAAATAAAAAATATGCTTATTATATTTATCTGTGTAATCTACATATATGACATCTTGGTAAAGCTGATATTGATATATTAATTTGATTGGCAGCATTCTTTTGGGTTAAATTTGAAATAGTCAGATCACTAGTTAAATGAGCTAATTCCTTTACTTGTTGTAATATATGATAGTTACCACATTATGATTGGTTAAACGCGAATTTCAAGTGTCAGATGTAATATAAATATCTTCTTTAAAAGTATCTTTAAAGTATTAATAATAGTTATATTATTGAACAATTCATCTTCTTCGATAATGGCTAATTGAATGAAGAAAATATCTTTATCGTTTACAAATGATGCTATATCATCTTCACTTGATATTTTATTGATACTTGAAATATTATTAAAAGATGAGTATTAAGTGATAATTACATTCTTACAATAATATTTTATAAAAATAATTTACTTATTAATTTTTATATATTCTTTTACATAAAAGTTAAGATCATTATTAAATCATTATTTTTTCCCTAATCAGGTAATAAAATTTTTTGCAACAGCTGTAACTGCAGCTGAACCAGGATTTTGACTTTGTATAAACATGATTTTCATCTCTTCACATATATCAGAAACATGTTCACTAGTAATCTAAAATCAAACGGTTAAATAATTTTAATCATATAATATATTATAAATAAATTTACCTCTCTGTTAAATACAGGTGGAGATTCAGTTAGCGATGTTAGTATTGTTGTAAAGGTAGAGCTGAATGAGAGGTGATGACTTTAGTTTATATGTGATACCTGATAAAAAATATTATTATCTTGATCATCATTATTATAATGACGTTTACTATGTTGTACTTAATTGGGAATCTCATGAGAATAAATTTGATCATTATTATTGGCTGAATATAATTCTGTATGGTTATCCTTTTTAGTATTCAAATTATAATAATCTTTAAAGGGTCATCTAGTACTAAATTGTTTAGACGATGACCTAAGATCAAGACTAAATTGTCTGTGATCTCATTTATGATCTTTATTAATTGGCTTAGATAATAAATGACTTGTACAATCAATTTTAATATGATCATCTTGGATATTTGACAATGATCGATTGGTTCATTGATCATCTTAGATGTTTGATGATGATTGATTAGTTCATTGTTCATCTTGGATGTTTAATGATCAATTAGTTTGTTATTCATCTTGGATGTTTGACAATAATTGATTGATTTGATCAATAGTATCTTCATTTTGATCACCAATTCTTCCTTTTGAAAGTAATAATCTAAGAATTCGTTCTAGATTGTTATTATCATTTTTAATCTTTTTTATTAGTAATTAATGATTAAATAGAATCATGTTCTGAATTATTATTAGAGTTATAGTTCTTTTTTGCAAAAGGCTTAGTAGATAACAATAATGATTTAAATTAATCATCTTGTTGAATATTGGCAACTTCAGACATTATTGCATCATCATCATTATCAGAGATCTCTTGTACCTGAGAAATATCCTGTTGAATATTGACATTTTTAAATATTACTTAATATTATTACATGAAACTATAAGTTTTACTTCTAATGAATTAAATGTTTTATCAAAACATTTCAAAGACTTACTAGGAATTTTTGTATTAGTTTTTTGAATAATTTTTCAATTAGCATGCGGTTTAGAAGCCTTGAGTGCTGATGCTTTTCTTTTTTTTATCATTTGCTTCTTTTGTTAGACCTGAAAAAAAAATGTATTTATAAGAAATAATTTTAAGAGAAAGTTTATTGTATTTAAATAGTGAAAATCATAGTACAAGACAGTATTTATAAATTCAAAACAGGTTTTTTTATAGAAATACCGATCATCACATATGATATCAAATATAATAAATATGATCATTGTGTAATATTATTCATATTAAAAAAGATGTTAGTAAAACTTTTTTTTTAAAAAAAAATTTCTAATTTTTATTTTTTTTCAACATAATTAAAAATACACGTAAAATAATTCAAGTAGCAAATTTATGGCAAGTAATTCATCCAAGAATCAGTAAAAAGGTTAACCTTTAAAAAATTGTTCAACAACCTCTGAATACAAATATTAATACACGTACTCAAAGTTACTTTGTTGAATTTTCTTTATCTTGACTTAACTTTATTAACGATGAAAGTTTTGATTTGATTTCATAATAAGAGAGGAATAATATTATAACATCTGATAATATACAAAATGCTATGCATGCCCTTTTACGAATAATTTATATATAAATAAGGATAGTGTTAATAAAGACGAATAAGAGAACAGTGTTAATGAGAACGAATAAGAAAACTATTAATTGAAATCTAATCATGATACAGATAGTAGTGAAAATGAGATTTCTTTTAAATTCAACAATCAATATAATGGGTTGCAAAACATACCTGCTTATCTTGGTGATGCTAGACCTTACTTTTGTAATATAATAGTGATGATGATATTCATTTGGTATACAAAACACATGATAGGTAACAATAAATTGTGCTATTTTAGAATATTTACATTTTTTTTAACAATTATCTTATTTAATAAATCAACAGGATCTTACGCATATCAAGACCTAGCAAAAATTTTACAACATCCAAAATTTTGTGTATTCAATCTCCCTCTCAGTATTATAATGTTAAAATAAATGTGACATGATCTGCCATTGATGACTCTTAATAGCCATAATGTCAAATTAATCTAATGGATACTCTATCTACTTATAATTCTCATAAAGAAGGGTATACCTTTTCTATTCTTGATTACCTCTAACGTATTCTTAATAATTTATCTATTTATCCAAAATTATACTTTAGTCTTGGTGTTGAGACTTTAGAAAGGTTAGAATTATGGTATAGACAAATATGGAAAGAGTCACCAATGTTTGGTAAAACATCATACAGAATCAGAAATAGTAATATTTATAATTTATATTTAACACTGTGATTAAACTCAAAGAATATTTATCATTATTTCTTTAGTACTTTATCAAGCTGAAGATTTTGTGATCTATTGTATTCAAGAGAAAACAACTGTATATCAACAATTAGGACAAGTCAATAGTATTATAATACCTAAAGAGAATAGTAATGAAAAATTATTATACATTTAAAAGATTTTATATTACGCGAATCTTTCAGGTAATATGAAATCAATTAATTGTCTAAAACAATCTTGAAATAATACTTTTGTTAACTAAAAAATGAGAAATAATTCAAATTAATGATATGATAAGTCATGTTGATGTCTGGTTCGAGAATTTAACAGAATCTGAGAATTATGATTATCGAATTAGAGAAATTCTATATATTCAAAACAATTAACTAAAAATAAGACATATACATTAATGATATTAATTACTATATCGATACAATTTTCAGAATTCACCTAATCTTTGCCATTTGAAGTTCTTTATAGATTTATATTATGATAATTTTGGTGTATTTGGTAAAGCATATCATAAGCTAGGCGAATTATATGTACAAATTGAAAATATGTCACTTTTGATATAACAGCGTCTCAAAAATTATTTCTTGATTGGTCTTGTTTCATTTGGTGCAAAAATTAAGAACTTTATTAAACCTTTTATTTGTCAAATGTAGAAGTTGCAGGATGGAATAATTATGATTATTTGTAATGGTAAAAGAGTATTTATTTCTGAAAGTCTTGATATATGTACTGCTGATTTATCATAAGGCAATGATATGACGGGAGTTCAATGACATAATGCAGATTGAGGATGCCGTTCATATGAAGTAATACAGAAAGAACTTAATAATCTTCATTTCGATATTTGAATAAATGGTAGATATTGTCATATTACAGATTTACAGTTTCAAAAAATCAAACAAGCACCTACAAAGTCTGCCAAAGAAAATATGGCTAAACAGTATAGATTATATTTCAAAAAAAATATTATCAATTAACTTATTCGCAATCATCACATACAAATCCTTCAAGATCCTTACCATTATTTAGCAGACTTAGTACGTAGACTTCTTGATAAAACGTTCAAATTAATGAATAACGAAGGTTATAGAGAGTTTGTAAAAGTATAACAAGTTTTTGAGGTTCCATCTACTTGGAATAGATTATAGAACCCAATTACTCATCAAGATAGCTATTAGAAGAATGATTCATTTGCCTTACTATGATCATACCTTATATATTAACTCACGTTATTAATTATCAACATTACAATACTAAAGTTATTACTAGGATAAAAAATAAATTTGGTTTAGGTAATTGGACGCAAGTTCTAGAAATGATTGTGAATTGTTAGGTAAAGGTAGCAAAGGCTTGTAAAGCTGTATTCAAATTATCATATATTGTTACTAATACTCATAACAATTATATTCTTTTGAGAAAGGATCTTGAATAAGCTACTATAATATTATTAAGGTAATTTCATTAAAATTATATTTTATTTTTTTATCATATTACAAATAATAAACACTTAATAGGTTTTCAGATCCACATTTTCTAATTTGTCGAATCTTCATATTCTTTGCTATCTATCTGATATTGCAACCAATTTTGGAACATTAGTGAATGTCTCAGTATCTTTAAAAGAGGCAATGCATAGATTATATAAAAGAATTATTTTACACACAAATAAGAAAGATATTTCAATGAATCTTTCAAAGTGTGATAATACTCTTTAAACTTTGAGATACTTATTGGATAGTGAATTAGATGCGAGATATAATGAAGCTAATTTATTTATTAAATTTACACGCGATAAAATATTACATAAATTATTGGATAGTTAGTATATATTAGAGTACCTTAGATGCAAGTAATATTAAGAATGGAAATATTATTGAAGATAACTCAACAGGTATCTGATACTAAAATTGAGTTTTTTATTTTTAATTTTTATTTTTATTTAAAATTACTTGAATTTAGAAATTTTATTTATTCATTCTGATTTTTAAAACATTCGAGTTTACTGTTTATGAAAACAATCTAAGGTTCAAAAACAAGGTTTATCAACTGTTCTTTCTATAAACAATATATTAACTGATATTATAAAAATCTATAGAGATATATATCAAAACTTTAGTGCTATTATTTAGCGTTATATTAAATATTATAATAATATTCAATTCACAGTACAACATGAGACCAATGATTATACTGATATTATATTACAAATTGGTGAAATAATCAATGTAAAAGATGTTGATAGTCTTGGTAAACGATCATATGGGAGTGTTTCTAGAAAAATCAGATTCCAAGAAATTTTTGACTAAAATTAAGAGCTTAATACATTTTAATCTAATAACATCAAAAACTAAAA